TCGCCAGATCCACCTATTATCAACTCGGATTCTGATAAAGGTGTGTTCATGAACTTTTGCTTCTTTTTAGTTTGGTACTAATAAAACATTTTCTCTTTAGTTATTTTAGGTACTGTGTATGTCAGACATTATTTTATAACTTTTTCAATTAAGCATCTCTGTTAACTGTCAAAATTACTGCTAATTCATATGCACTTTGTAATAGATACTTCAAGATCAAAATACCTATCATATGTTACTGATAAGTCAACGCTAATAAAAATGAAATGGTCTGTTGACCATTAATTTGTTACTGAACTTACAATTAATAACAATTTGTTCTAAAAAACGCCGTCGCATCTTAAAGTCACCGCCTCAAACTCACCTTAATCCAATCTTAGTCGAAATATTTGTACACTTCACAATTATAGCGTAACTTTTGAGCTAAACTGTAAACGCGACTTAATCCGCGAGCAAATCCACATGCCGCCGTAATATCGACAAAGAAATTCACACCTTAAAGATTGGCTCCAAAGTTGGAATTCCCATGTCAAAGTGAAGGTGGTTATATACCACGATACGAGACGAATTGTTGCAGAAGAGTCATAAAAACTAAGATATTAATGTATCGTGGGAGGCATTAGCCGGTCGCTGGATCGATTCCTATGCATAAAAAATGCTAATGGTCCTGAAGAGAGTACGTTACGCCGGAGTTGGCTGATTTATGTCGGGAGTTTTGTAACTATTCGCGGTTCGATGTCGTACCCTGGTGTTTTTAGGACAGGTGGACCTTAGAACTTGGGAAGATGTCGCTAATGGGGGTTGCGAATTTTTCCTTTGTCATTTTTGTAAAGGTGCGCTTTATGAATCCACGTTTTAGAGACTTAAAACTTCTGATATGAAGCGGTTCTTTAATAATCTATTAAACTATTTCTACCTTTAGCTCTCCTTTAGAAGCCTTACAAGGCCTATCCTTAATGACGTTCTCCCATTTCCTTAACCAACCAATGGCTGTTTAGATCGTCCGTTCTATAGAACTGCTCTAATTAAATCTATCTTGACACCTTTTTCTCCTAGGAGCGTCCACAGCCTTGCTTGCTTCCAGTAGTGTAATAAGGATTGAAAAACTTAAGGTACAAAGTTACTTTGAAGCTGAGACCCGTTAGTCTAATGTCAAGGGTCATTTTGTAGTTTGTGGATATTTACAAAGGTAGCCTTTTTATTTACTAGTTAAATAATAATACTGTTTCAATGAAAAATGACTTAGAACAATATTTCGGTCCAATATCTTGAAAAGTTGCTACGTAGGTGCTACGATTTTCTGTAGCCGCTACGAAAAATGCTACGAAATCTACGTCGTAGCAATCGTAGCCATGGCCAAAAACTTCGGACCTCGACTCATACGAAATGTTTTGTTTTTAAGTTTTTCCGTTTATGCTGTGCTATAGATAGATATTTGTTGATAAACTTTGACATATTCGAACACATGGCTAAAGTATACGTAAAATTAAAAACTCACTGAACTAAAAATAATCATGATGTAATCAGAATATTCTATACCTTCAACACAATCCAATACAAAAAATCCAACCCAACGTAAGTACCAACAATGTTCCTTATACCACTTTGCAACACCTAGCGCCATCTAGCGTCGGGTAGCGGAACAGACTTTAATAACGTGTCGACTTACAGTATTTAATTCATAGTAACTAACGGCGAACTCGGATCGGTTTATGGACGAAGTTAGGGTGCATCCTTTTAATAATGGCACTACCCTAATAGGTTGTTAGTGCAAGAGTTGGGAATTTTCCGTCGTAGGTAAAAAATTGGGTTTGGGATGAAAGTGAAATAAAGGTTTGTGTTTGTAGTGTGATACTAGAAGTCTCTTTATTCCATAAAGGGGTTACCAAAGGTTGCATGTATTAAAATGAGTCAGACACCAACTTTTTATATTCTGACAGTTCTAATTGTCATATAATTATGGTCCTTGTTTTATGTTTATTAGTTTTAGTAATACTTTTTTTGTAATTTCCATAATAATATTTTGACAGGAAATGCCTATAAGTATTCTTTAAAACGTTAAATTCAAAACATTGTTACCATCAGGTGATCCTTCTCCTCGTTTGCCTCCTATGCCATAAAAATACAGTCTAGGAATGTTCAGTACTTTACGTTTACATAATTTTGATCGTGAAAAAGCATTGTTTTCTATTACTAAGAATGATAATATAAATTACTTAAAACATAAATTTTCTAACAAAAAATGTCGTAGTATAATCCTATTTTATATTCAACGTAAATGATTTACACAAAATTGCAAAAAGATAAACTAAAACACGATTCTAGCACCTATAAAAACTGACCGCCGCTCTTAATACAAAGGCGATTTTCCTTTTTAATCCTGCTGCGAAAATTTTATATAAACGCTTAGCATCCTCCAATCTTTTATACAAACGCATCATTAAAATTCCAACCGTGAAAGAATTAAAATGAAAAAACACAAACAATTATTTGAATACATGCACCGCACTGGCAATCTTTGCGAGCCTCCTCGGTCACGTAAAACGAAATGGCGAAAAAAAAATTTATACATATCTGCCTGGGACACCGATCGCGATACACGGACGTACGCGGGTTGAATAATTTAATTTTTTTCTCATAATATTATTATTTTATTAAATATGGCGAATAACCCCGCTGCCGCCGCCCAGTGCCCCTTTAGACCACCTTCGCTTAATTGTACGAGGCTTAGCTGTGTGTGTACCTATCAGGAATTTTAATACGTAACCACCGTAATCCTGGCTCTTATTTTACATTTTGTGAGTGTATATATATGTTTTTGTATATATTTCTCATAAGTTATCGTTACCGTTAGGATTGAGAGTGATCAGTTATTTCGCAATATCACGATATTTTAAGGCCATCAACTTCTAAAATCTTGATTAAAACCCTGCGTTTTGGCTTAAGACATGTTTTAAATATACCATTTAAAAAAAACCGTGCAGACAATATTTTAGGCGTGAAATTCGAAGCCATTATCGCGTCGCGTAGGCTACGCTTCGGAACTGTCGGAGGTTTTCGTCGTCTGAATTTATGCCCGCCCCGCTGTGACCGCAGCGTGCGAGTTGGTCACACTGGGGGCCACTGACGGAGTGCGAAATGCGTAACCATGCTAAAGGGTGATTTTTGAGGAAAGCATCTAGTTAGTGGTTTGATTATAAAGTGTGATACAAAAACGTTGATGGGTGCGAAAAGCTGGAGAGCTAGAGATCTAACTCAGTGGTGTGGAATGAACGATCTAGTAATAATAGTCTAGTTTTAATTTATATCAGAGGCATATAGTATTTTGTCGTACATACCCAAATTAAACTGAAACTACTACTGTAATTTCGTCGTCTGAGGGTCTTTACTTTCTTTCTAACAGACTTCATATTCAGACATAAATTTATACAAAACTTTAAAAACTAATATCTGGTTTCTTATTTGTACCTTACCTTCTACTTATACCGGTACAATTTAATTATCACATTAACATTATTTACCTAAGGAATACATAGATAATATACTATACCCGCTAACACTTGCACTCCAACTTTACGTTACCGCGTGGGTCAAAACGTTCCGGGTTCCGTTCGGTAGGGTTAACCCACTTTGATTCTTTTCGATAATCACCCGCTAATGCACTGTGGCCGTTCGGGTTTTTCAATGTTTTAAATAATGGCTAAAGAGGGTGAACGTCTATTGTATTTGCCGTAGAAATATTCCTGTGGTTTATCTTTGTATTTATTCGTTTATTATGTATATTTCTGATGTATTTAAAGTTACACAATAGCCAGAATGATAATGCTTAATGTTAAAACAAGCATTTATGATTGTAACATTTTATACTTATGTTATTTCATAGAAACACAACTTCTGCAAACAGAAAGCACGCTCCATCAACTGAACAAAGATTGAAATTCAACGCCAATGACAATCCTTTGACCACCCGAATATTAATAGACCATTATAGTACATTGAACAGTTTGTAACAGGGACTGTGCCTGGCAAGTTTGCGTGGCGGTTAATGTAGTGGAAACTGCAATAGTTAGTATCGCGATAACACTATTAATATCTGGTTTGGATGGCGCGCTTCGTTTCGCATTGATTTAGGTTTATTGTGTCCTAAAACTTTATGAAACTAAACAAATATTGTACAATAATTAGTCGTTGGTACAGAGACATCTTCATGACGGTTATTGCCAAGAATTTGTCCATATCTACAGATTTTGGATTGAGATAAATCATTGATATCAGCCGTAATTAAATAAAAAACAATTTTCAACATCAATCAACGTCAAATAGAAATCCCGAATATATGAAAAACAAAAGCAATCAACATGGAATCCACAACAGCGCCGATAACCTAACTATCTCCCGAGACGAAGGAGAAATATGATTAGGAAAGTTTTTTAATCAATAAAAAGAAGAAAAAATAAAGTAGGAAGCGTTCTCAGCTTCCTGGCTTCGTCGGATTTTTTCGCCTTATTTCTCATTACACCGGCGCCTTGGCTCGTTTCCCCTGACGTCATAGTTATAATCATTTATCGTTTGACGGCCGCCCGCGGTCCGCACAACGCTTATTTCTAAAGGAAATTGAAAAAGTTGCCTTGATCGCGGAGTGTGAAATAGAATCGGGATCGAGTCTCAGCGCTGCTTGTTCCACTTGATGGCTTGTTTAAGGCAAAATGTTGATGCTGTTTTAAAGCAAATTTTGTAAAGCATGCTTAAAACATACGTTAACCGCTAGGAGAATACATTATTCCTTGTCACTATATTCTTTGCCTTTGAAAAAGTACATTCCCAAACCGAACATGTACCTTATCGGGTATTATTAGAGTTTGTTGTGTATTGAATAAAGCTTTTGATAATAAAGTACTGTTCTCCCATATTAACGTCAGATTTTAAAGTATAATTTACTTCTAAAAGATTAAGAACATCCAACAATGTCTTTCTTGATTTACAATACTGTTTCTTCTTTCCAGAAACTACACTTCCTATTCCCACCTGCGTTCGAGGTGGAGAGGATCATGAGCAGTGGCTGTGGAAGTCGTATCTGCGTCTGGGGATCCCGAGGTGTGACCATTGCTGAACTGCCATCGAGGTGGGGCCGAGGTGGACTCTTCGATTCCGGCAACCAGACCGTACTGTGCAAGTAAGTGGCTATTTTCTAATCTTTCTTTTGTCTTTTCACACCGTTAAGCTTATTGTTGTACAATTGAAAGAATAAAAAGACATTTGTTGGTAATCACATGATCAGTGCACAGTTTCTATACACAGTAAAATTAACGTCTTTATGCAATTATTGCTACTAGAACAACATCGAAACCCCTACAACAAGTCAACATAGCGAAATAACCTCTACCCCATAAAATCCGCGTCCAACAAAGTTTTAAACAAAGGCCAATATAGTGCAACAAATTTCAACTATAAAATGAAGGCTTAACCGCGTCTAGTGAAGAAACTAAACACCTGAAATCTAATAAAGCCTGATAAGTTCCCGAGAAAGCTGGCACGTAAGCATCGTGTATTTTCTACTATCACGGTAAATTTTGTAACCTATTAAGCTCCTCGAAGCGGCTATAATGTTAGCCTGAGGTAACGATTAAGGCATAGATTATTAGCCGGATGACAACTTGTAGACTGGACTGTCTTTTGATGAAAAGTTGCCACTGTTGTTAAAGCAACGTTAAGATGTTACTAATTAGGATTCCTTCTGTTACAGTCAATAAAATTTGATGATTAGACAGCCAATTTGATTAGGTTAAACCTTTTGACAGATACATGAGACTCTCGCTTGAAATGCAGTAATTTAAACTTTATTTTTTATGTAAAAGCAGTTAAAATTAATTCATATAAAAATAAGAAACAAATCCCCGAACGAAACCTCTCAGAAGCGAGCCCAACTTAGGCAAAAATCTAAACAAACACCCACCACAACATAATCTAAGTGTTTCGCGCTCGGAGTCACCACTCTTTTGTACATGTTATTAGGCTTCTATATCTCCAAATTTGCATATTTCGGCAGTAAAATTAATTCGAAGATTTGCCCGCATCCACCATCCAGACGGGAGCTTCAAGGGGGTGGCTTTTGTAATGTTTTTGGATTTCTGCATTAGAATTTATACGTACCGATACCTACTGTGGCTTCGTCCCTAAGACGAGTATTATACGAGTCGATGACTTTCAATTAAGCGTTTCGATTGAGCGCCGACCGAGTATCAAAATTGTTTCCAAGTTTATGATAAGTAGGTTAGAGGATTGATTTAATTTTTATACAGTTAGGGGAAGCAAAAAGCAAACCATTAATGTTAGCGAAGATTGTTATAAACTCCATTGTCTGATATCGAATAAGAGATCAGATCTGCGATCTTATTTAACTACTATTTTTGAATGATAAATGATTGAAGATTCGATGTGAGAGCTACAGTAATCGCGTGATTGTTCTATGGTTTACAAAACTCTACAAATGCCTTAGCCAATACCATTCACAACAAAGAATGAACGAACTAACAAAGACGACATCATAAAACTTTAAATAAAAAAGAAAATCTCCATTAAAACAGGGCAATAACCAACAAAAACTGCACTAAATACATCGCATTCCAAGTGACTTATGCTAATAGCAGTTAGCAGTTACTGCACAGCTCTGAAACCCGTTCGTATTAATCCCTACAACTAATATTAGCTATAAACGGCCCCTTTTTGGCTAATTATGCTAAGATGTTTCAGTTTTGCCGTCTGCACCGAGGATTTGAGTTTTACACTTTATTTATGCTCCTCTGTACATGGATGATACCAAATTTTCTAGCAGTTTTGATATGGCGGAAACTTTTCTGAGTAATTACAGTTTATGAATCAAAGAATAGCGTCAATTTCTGTCACATATGACATAAAAACTATTTGATTCTTGAGCAGTGAGAGACGAGAGCTTACCATGAAATTACAAGAAAGAAAGAAAAAAACTATTTCACACACTGAAAGTACAGAGTGGCATGTAGGTGCTGATGGATACATGTTCATGTCCCAAGTTTGTGGTGAAACGGGACCAGTTCAGCATGTGCAAGACCTTGCGCTGGTATTCTACTGGCCCCTTGATGTAAACACAAGAATGCTTTATGATAGATCAAAAAAACCTTTGGTCGATAACTTCTGGATCTTATAACAGAATTCCTTCATGTTTATGAAATGATTTACAATAGAGATAATCTAACAATACGAACAGTACTACATCAACAATATAATAACGAACAATCACAAACAACTTTCACCTTTATTATAACATAATCTTAAAACACAATTTTCCCCGGTTAATTTACTCTGCGTCGCAACATCTTCAGCTAGAGTGGGCTCGTATATTCTTTGATAACCCCTTATCGTCGCCCGTTCGGTGCATTTCCGAGCTTCCGAAGCGAATCTCCCGCTAAATATTGTGTTGGTATATTTACTGTGTTTGCTTCTGTTTTGTTTAAATATATACCTGTATGTGTCTTGTATGGTTTGTCTTTTATGTATCTGGAATAACTAGTAAATTAACGGCCACTTTGTTTTGTATATGTTTGAGAATCGATGGACCAATCAACATAATGATCATTGTGGGTGATAGTTACATTCTAAATGTACGAATTAACCCTTACTTACGCATTATCAAGGCCGTACAATATTGTGTAAGATATTTCATCTAAATCTGTAATGACTTTGATTTATTTACAAAATGACTTCTGAACGTTACTGATTTTGACAACGCCAATACTTTTTAACACAATAAGTATTTCTTCGATAACAAAAGCTTTTGGTAAAGCGCCAAAATCTAAATACAGGAAAATCCTAACAAATAATTAAACGTCCATTATTGGCACAGACAGACGTCAAACATGCGATCCTCTTTAAACACAAACGAAACAAGTAGATTTCACACGGGAATAGAACCTACGTCCAAGGAAGTTTGTTCAATGTTAGTTCGAAAGTAAGGGATTGATTGTATTTGGACTGAAACGGCTTTTGTGTCTCGGTTTGACAATGAGGACACATCTACATCCCCATAAAACATGGTTTTTAATCGTCAATTAGTATCGTCATGCTTTGTTTATTTAAAGGAATAGACTCAAAAATCAACCCATCGTTGCTTTCCATCATCATCTTGTATAAACAGAACACCATAATGTCCCATAATCAAAGACAAATCCCATAGATTAACCCAAGATCGATAGATACCAATAGAAGCTAATCCTTCAACCGCGTCGACCTACCCACAAACCGAACGATCCTGTAACTCTCAATTACTGGGTAACCCTGATTTACCCGACGACCGATCCAATTTGTAAACGGGACTCGATCGGAGAAAACTATCCACGACATACACAGTCAAAAACCAACCTAAACTCAACCCCTAAAAGCCCAATTCCACAATTCAATCCAGAGGAATCACCTTCCAAGTCGATATTGTCTAGTCATGCGAGTGATGACCATGGAAAATGTTTTTGCACCAAATTACGCTCTGATTAGAGGGGTGTAGGGTATGTTTTGGAATGGCGATGTTTGACATCCATTGGGCCGACCTGAACCCCAATTATAGGCCACAAACTATTTTATCTAACACCCGTGTGACAACACTAATCTTATTAGAATCTATTGGAATCGAAAACGTGCCAAGAAAGTAAGGAGGAGACATTGTCTTGAAGTTGATTTCCTTTGTTATTTTCTTTGTCTTTGATATTGTTACTCTATAGATATTTAATATTAAAAATATAATTGGTTTAACTAACCATTTACAAATGGGACTGTAGGACAACAAAAATTATATTTTTATTAGAAAAAGTCACTTTTGGCTTCTTTCTGTAATGTGTGGCGTTATGGATTAGTATTTCTTATTTTAATCTTACAATTTGTAACCGCTTCCATCCTTGCCCTCACGTCTCCTGCGATCGGGATTGATTCTCCCGCCGCGTGATCCGGGCTTTTGGCTTAAACCAATTTGCCGGTTAATCCGGAGTACACGTACGGACGCTTCGGGACCCCGGCGATACCCGGATTATACCTCCTTATTCTTTGTCTTTACGTGAGATTTTATTCTTATCGGTGATACTAGGTGGATTATTTTTGAGGTTGAACGTGATACCTGATATTCTTATCGTATAGGATGGAGGATTTATCGTACCTCCTTAATGTTACTACTATTCGCCTTGCTACAAAATTAATGGTTAATACCATGTAAAAGAGCGATCAAGTAATTATTTGCCAAGTCCATCATAAGCCGACAATTAATGATCAACCCAAAACAACAAACTTTCAATAAACCCTTATCAAAACTATCACCCAAAATGACCATCACGTCTTAGCCGAAGTTTATTAACAACATAATCTCATGGACGCCTCAATAAACATGTAAGAGACCGATATGCAAATATCTAGCCCCCGTCCAGTTTGTACGAGCCTGTTTGAACAAGACTGGACACGGATCGCCAGTGTAAACATGTTTGAGGGATGTTAGGGTAGTTATTGAGCGTACCACTAAATATCTTTGTACGGTGGTGCTACTCTTTGCTTAGGGAAACATAATGTTACATGTTAATGTTAAGATTCTGATTTAGGTAGAAGATTTGAGTGACTAAAATGAAAATATAATCCTTAATAACCAATCAGAATTCAACAAACCACGACATCAAAGCTAAAATCATAGGATTTCCTCCCCAAACCCAATCACCGCTATAGAAAGTGAAGAAAAAGAAAATCCCTTTCTCACGTCGAACCTAAGTACCTTAATCGCCCCCTATTGTGTGTACACCGTTTTGTGAGTAGATCACAGAAAGAATCCCTTTTTTATCCCTTTAGGGAGACTCCCTGACCCACTGGACCGTGTTACCGGTATCGATAACAAATTGGGGATGCAATTCTTAAAGGGTTGAAAGGATTTAGAAGTTTCTTACCAAGATGGGGGTTATTGAATCTTTTTCGTATCCCTGTGGAATTGGGTCAAGGGAATTGTACACTCGACATGAGTAAGGGACTTGTTGCTTTCAAGGATTTTTTTTCTTCTCGTGTTGTATGTGGGGTTTCTTTTAGGGGACTAACTTTGTGTTCAGTTTATGTTTCGAAATGTTTGTTCAGTTTGCATTTACTTATTTACAATGTGTAGAGAAAAGTAAATATTCAGCG